CATTATATGGGGGCTATACGATATCGTGGACCTATATAGAAAATTCTCTTTAGGGGTTAAAGTACTCACAGAGAACTCCTTATATAGAATTTCAGACAATGTCATTGAAAAATGTGGCTACAATCATTACAACACCGAATATAGGAAGGTACCATTATATGGGGGATATACGATATAGTAGATATATATAGACAATACTCTTCCAGGGGGTAATGTACTCAGAAGGAACTCCTTTTGTGGGTTATCAGACAATTTCATAGAAAAATTTGGCTAAAATCATCAAAATGCCGAATATCGGGGGTTACTGTTATATGGGGGCTATGCGATATCGCGGACCTATATAGCTCATCTTCGAACTTGACCTGCTTGCAGACAAGAGACTGATCTGTGCAAAATTTTAGCTTCCTATCTTTATTCCTTTTGACTCTACCGTGATTAGAACAGACGGACGGACAGCGCTAAATCGTCTTAGAATTTTTAGCTGATCAAGAATATATATACTTTGTTGGGTCTAAAATCATTATTCCGTTGAGTTACAGACGGATTGACGAACCTAATATACCCTCCATACTATGTATGGTTCAGGGTATAAAAATCGATTTTTTGGTAATAAAATAAAATCGAAATATCGAAAAGTCGAGTCTTTTTCTTGTTTAAGACAAAAATCGAAAAATTCGAGCTATTATGGCATTTCTCATATTTCTAATATTTTTGTGCATTTTTTAAATCCGTTTTTAATTTAAAAAATGTGAATGACATGAATTTGATAAAATTTCGAATGATACTGCATTTACAGAAGACATGTTTTAATCAAAAAGGGTTAATACTGACTGTATCGAAGACATGTTTGATAAATGTTTGTATTTAAAATTCAATATTGTGTATACTATGGAAGAAGTTGGAAACGTTAATGCCCAACATCGATTATAGATTTTTAAAAAATATTTTCGAGTCTGTTATAAAAAAAATAATAGACTTAATTTTTTCATATAGGTGTGGAGGTCACACGTAGGGTCTTCAAACTATTTTCTTTCAATAGAAAAAATATGGATGCATGAGCTGGATTGGACAAAGGTTTTAATCAAGTCTCTTAGAAATTGAAACCGGTTAATTTCCTGTAAAAATATACTAAAGTTAGGGGCTTGGGTTTTCTTAATGTTTAGATAAGGTTTAGAGGTTTTGAAATATGAGTGGTTATAAATGATGTTTGGTTTTTAACATATAAGTAGGATAATATTATACATACAATTGTCCTTCTTGATTTCGATAACCTAAAAATATCAAATTTTATAAAAATCCATAAATCAAGTTGGGAATTTCCGTTTTTTATTTTGTGTTGTTACGCAATTTGTGATTATTTGATTTCATTTGTTTTATTGTTTCTTTTTCTGCAATTTTTCAAATATTCTTATTTTGGTAGACATTTATGTTTTTTTTTTTCGTTTTACTATTTCAAAATTTTCAATCACACATCTTATAGATAGATAAGCAAGTTGTCAGTTTTTAACTTGTTTGTTGTTGTTTCTTAAATTTTTATAAAAATTTAATTAAACATGAGTTGATTGCTTTCCTTTGCCTTTTGAAAAAAATTATGGAGGAGAGAGAAGTGGTGGGTGCCCGGTGTTCTTTCTATATTTATAGATATTGAGAGACTTTTTATTATTGAATACAATTTTTTTCGCTATACAAATATATGGGGGATTTTTCTTTTAAAATTAAAATTTTGGTTTCGTTTGAGTGAAGCAAAGCTATAGTTTTGAGAAACAAAGAGAGAGAGAGACAGAGAGAGAATGCACTTTTACTGAACAAATTTATAATATGATCGGCCTACATATTAATGTGAAAATATACAAGTCTCATAATGTCTTGTCGACTTCAAACTGTGGCTCACCTATAAAAATCCGTCTAGCCTAGAGGAAATTTAAGAGATATTTTGCCTAGAGCCCCTTAGGCTATTAAAGAATTAAAGCTCCGAAATGTGAGAAAAGTGCGGATTTTACTCTTTATCCTAATTTGAGCGGGAGTACTCCTGTGAGATAAAAAGAGAAACCGAGTATACTCCATTTTTTATGCCACTCGAATAAGAGCAAGTGTTCTTTACCCATCAAATGACACTAAAATTTGCTTAAAATCGAGCAGATTCTACTCATGACAAGTACTCATTTCGATTTTCTTGTACCATTGTTTTATTTGTATGTATGTGTATTTTCTCAACTCACAGCTGCAAACGAAATATAACGGAATACGTTGAAAAATTGCCGCAATCTCTACTGGCAAATCATTTCGTAGCGTTGTTGTTTTTGTACTTAAAATTTACCAGCCACTTGCCTCCGTTGTTTTTTGATCTCTAAAGGGTCTATTATTTGTATTTAATTTATAGAGGGCCTATCGGAACTCTTTCATTTGTGAAACACCCCTTAGGAGCTCTTCAATCTGTGGAAAATGTCTATGAAAGACCTCTGGAAGTTTTTCTCTCGATATACAATACCTCTGTAAGTTCTTTCTAAAAAAGCTAGATGATCTATTGGAAGACTTCTAGGAGGTCTTCTTTTTAAGGTGGAGCTCTAGAGGATCTTCGGCACAATGAAGACATATAGATGGTCTTCTTTTTATAGAAGTTCTCTGAAAGGTTTATAAACAACAGAAGTCCCCGGGAAGAACTTACATCTATAGAATATCTCTGATTTAGTTTTCTTTCACACTGAGCACTGAAAGAAATTCTGACTTTAGGAGACCTCTGGTAGGTTATTAAATTATATGCCATTATATGTTTGCTTTCGATTAGAAACTTTGAATATCCTCCTCCATTTGGAACGAATTTGAAAATTAAAAAAGTCTCTTAAAAAATCTGTTAAAATCGTAAACAAACCGGTGAATATTGTAGCTAAAATCACCAAAATAACAAATATAGGGAGGTTTAGGGAGGTAGCGTACGAAGACGTGGACCTGCATAGACAATTTTCTGTCATAGGCTGTAGTACCTATTAGGAACTTCAAATACGAAATTTACAACAATTTCGGTAGATAATGTCGCTAAAATCGACAAAATACCGAATATCGGGAGGTACCGCTATATGGATGCTATACGAAGACGTAGACCTGCACAGCCAGTTTTCTGTCACAGGCTGTAGTACTTATTAGGAATTCTAAATACGATATTTGAAACAATTCCGGTAAATAATGTCGCTAAAATGATCAAAATACCGAATATCGGGAGGTACCGTTATTTCGGGGCTATACGAAGACCTGGACCTGCATAGACAATTTTCTGTCACAGGCTGTAATACCTATTAAGAACTTCAAATGCGAAATTTCAAACAGTTTCGGTAAATATTGTTGGTAATATCATCAAAATACCGAATATGGGGAGGTACCATTTTATGGAGGCTATAGCAAGACGTGAACGTGCGTACTAAATTTTTGTCATAGGCTGTAGTACTCCTTACGAAGTCTAAATACGAAATTTGAAACTACTCCGGTGAATAATGTCGCTAAAATCGTTAAAATATCGAATATCAAGGGGTACGGTTGTATGTGGGCTATACGATATCCTGGACCTATATAGACAATACTCTTCCAAGGGGTAAATTACTCGGAAGAAACTCCTTTTGTGGATTTCCAGACAAGTTCATTGAAAAATTTGGCAACAATTATCTGTGCAAAATTGTAACTTCCATGTACAGGTTGAGATGAAAAAACCGCAACCAACTTCAGACTGCTGTCATTTCTAAGCCACCCGTCCGACAGCTGTTAAAATTATTCCAGTGACAGCTCATTATATGTTTACAAGCGTACAAAAGCATTTTGGTGAGAATTTTCCAGAAAAAAAAGTTATTCGTGATGGAATTGGAAGCGTGATAGTGCCTGATTTCTTTATATTTGGCTGGAAAACCACAAGTGGCTATCGTTAGAGCACTCCAGCATTTAAATGTGAATAAATCTTTTGTGTCTCGTACCATCAGCAGAAATGGTCCGAAAAGTAAAGAAGCGACTTGAATAGAAGCCGATGGTCGCTCTCCGCTCGTATTAATCGACCGTGGCATCCGAATAAATGCCGAATATTATCGCAAAAATATTCTGGAGGATGTATTAAAGCCTTGGGCACACACACATTTTGGCCGCAGACCTTGGACATTCCAACAGGACTCAGCACCATCGCACTCAATACGCGCCACCCAAGAATGGTTACAAAATGAGGTTGCTTGCTTCATTTCCAAAATCTCCGGATACTAATCCGTTGGACTATTGTGTCTGGAGTATTTTGGAAATCAAGGTTGGCACTAAAAAATACCAAAGTGTCGATCACCTCAAGCAAAAATACCGCAGAGCAACATTCGGGCAGCGTGTGATGGTTTCATTGTCCGTTTGAAGGCCATAATTCGTACCAAAGGTGATTAATTCGAACAAATCTAGGCCTATTCTAAAATTGGATTCTTTTTCCAACATTTTTTGCTTCCATTCAATAAAATTTAAAAAAATGTAAAAAATATGGCGTTTAAATTTGTTGCATTCTATCATTTGACATCTCACTCTCTCTCTCTTTCCCTCTCATTTCAATGTTCTCAACTCAAATTAATTCTCAGCTTTGCCCCGTGCAAGTCCTAATGCTTATATTATAATTTAGCAAATACATATTTATATTCAAAAAATATTAATTAAATAAATTAATAATTTAAAAAAAAACCTGTAAATAACAATAATATGCAGAATATTAGGCCAATTATAATCAAAAAAAGAAAATATTATAACATTTACAATTACACAGTGCTACAAAAGTTTCGAGGAAAAATTGTATATCTCTCTCTAAAGTGTTGTGAATATACCCTAATATACACATATGTATTCATGTCAATACTAGAAAATTACATAAAAATTGTAATAATTGTATTTTTTTTGAAAAAACAATTTTGCGAAAGTGGGGTTAGGTACTATTTTTAAAAGTATTTGTTGACTTATTTTCAATAAAGTCGTTACATGTATCCGAAAAAAATGTATGTCCTTATGGTTTTAGAAAGACATGCTTGCTTTTGTTTTCTAATTTCCAATATCATTCCTAAAAAAATTCGTTCAACATAACCTCACTATTTTGTAGTCGCTTTAAAGTCCATAATAATAATTTTACCAATTTTTTCTTTGGGTAGGGTAGCACAGTGTCACTTAGGTTAGGTTTTGCATTGTTCAAGGACTAAATAAAAGTCCTTTTGGGATTTACAAAAAATATATAAATTTTGAATAAACAATAGTCGCTTGTTTCTTATTGTTTCATCTTAAGTTTGTAGATATTTCTTTGTTTTTTTTTTGTGTGTTTTTCTTTTCTTTTTTTGTATTCTACTTTTGCTTCTTCTTTTTTTTTTTCTTTAGGGAATTTCCCAAAAAGGAAATGGAAAAAGAAAATGAATGATTCTCTCACTTAAACACTATTTTTTGCAACAAATTCTCGCAGAATATCACAAGCCATTTCAATATTATTCCGTGATATACCCAAGGCCGTAATGGCGTTCTCCTTCGAATAGCCCTCGTTCATGAGGCGAGCTATGTACTCCAGGTTGATGTTCTCATAGGGCACAGTGCAATCGCCCGCCCCCACCACCTTTTGATTGATGGAGATATTTTCGTAAAGTAAAGGCTGATGATGATGGTGGTTGTGATGGAGATTGGGGGTTTTCGTTTCCAGGCTGGCGGAACGATCATTGCTTGAGATTTTCACATCATTGCGTATGTTGTTGTTGCAATTGGAAGAGTTAGCTGCTGCCGAAGAGGATGATGATGACGAAGTGGTGGTGGTGCTGCTGCTGCTGCCATTGCTGGTGGTTATCTGGTTATAGTTGCCAATTATTGTTGACCTCGCCTCCAAGGGCCGTGTATCAATGACACCCATAATTGTCTCAGCTGGTCCCACAATATCATCATCGAGTAGACTCATATTTGTGGTGGCCGTTGTGGACAGTGTCGTTGAAATGAGTGGTGTTGTTCCGGCCAGGCGTTGTGACCTCATCTCCTCAACCAAGGTGTCCACATGACTACTGTTGTGTGGCGGTATGGGTGGTGCTGTGGTCTTGGGTACACAAATCTCACCCAGTGTAGCTGCAATGTTGTCCACACTTTTGCTAGTTTGGGGCAGGGTTGCCTTTTGTATGGCTCCTCCATTTGTGGGACCATTTGTAGGGCTGGTCACAGCATTGTCGGCTCCTGGTGATGATTTCCTTGGCGGCAAAGGGGGTGCTGATGAAGGGGCCGAGGCTGTGGCTGCCAAGGCAGCTGAGTTGGCCTCACGTTTCTGGGCCTCCTTGCAGACAATTGCCTGGGATTCTTGGAGATTTTGCAATATGGCATATGAGGAGTTGGAATTGTCATTGCTGATGTCCGACTTGTTGGATATCTTATTGCCATAGCCGCCAACGATAACGGCATTGGTGCCCATTAGGGGGGCACTCATGCGATTTGTGGATTTTTGTGAGGCCACCACAATTGCCGACGAGGCAGATGCTGAAGATGAGGTTGCTCCTGCTGCTGCTCCTGTTGCCGATGATGAGTTGCTGGCCACCGTACCATTTACCACACTCATGGGTGGGGCCGATGGGACCGACGGCTGATGACCACCCAGGCCACCTGATAATACTGTTGCTGCACTTATATAGTTAGCACTTGCCGACTGTTGTTGTTGCTGCTGCTGCTGCTGAGCGGCCAATGACAATGTAGGTATATGTCCGGCATATAAATCATTTTGTACTGCCATCAAGCTGGGCGTGGTACTGCGCCGCGAAAAACGCGGCGATGTATGTGGACTATGCTTGTCCGAGGAATGTGTTGATGAGGTCATATTGTTGCTTAGAGCATGTAATGATGATGTAGCTATATTAAAATCTCCAGTATCCTAAAGAGAGAGAGCAGAGACGCAGGAAGAAAATCAAGACAGAATATGGTAAAATTTGAAAATATTTCAAAACTTGCAGTTGATGAGCTTTGGAATTGAATTGGAATGGGCTGGGCGAATGAGGATAGATGTGTTTTCAAGTGGATGTTGGGAAAAAGGAATTTTAAAAATAAAAAATCTGGGAAAAAGAGATAAAAACGATATCAAGAACGACCAGATCAGTTGGTCTCAACTTTCCTAAAATTTGGGATAACCGTTGAGCAGAGCTATGACAGAAAGGCAAAAATCTAAAAAATTGTGAACATCATACCGAAATAGTTTTCTACCCTTGAAAACCCTATTTGGGTGAAAAAAAGTGCGACTAGAATCTTAAAATGGTTACCCCAAAAATTTGTAGCAATTTTTGCAAATTGTCACTGGAAGTTGTCCGTAGCAACACAAAAAAGGCTTAACTCTAGTTTGGAAAAAAACATCTTCACTTTTGACGAAAAATTTTCCAGTGGCAGGTTTTTTTCCCTGATATCGGGAAAGTATTTTTTTCTTGGGGAACGGGACAAAACACAAACGATCTTAACTCTAGTTTGAAAAAAAAAACATCTTCACTTTTGTCGAAAAATTTTCCAGTGGCAGGTTTTTTTCCCTGATATAGGGAAACTATTTTTTTTCTTATGGATCGGAAACCGGAGACCCAGAAGAAATTCGAACATTTAAATCCAATTTTATGCGAAATCATAAATTCCATATTCATTTCAGGTTTCTACTCAAGAGATAATAAAAGTATTGAAAATTGTCACCCTCTGTGGGTGTGGGTGGGGGAGGTACCAGAAGGAATGGTCGGATCACTACCATCTTTAAAACCGATCTTGTGTTGATAGAAATATTGAGATGTGCCAAGTTTAAATGGAATCGGATGTTAGTTTCGTGTTTTATGAGCTTCATGAATATTCAAAATTTTGTCCCTTTGTGGGGGAGGTGCCAGAAGGAGGCGGCCGATATATTCCATTCCGATTATATTCACACCAGACCTTGGGTTAATAAAAATATTGTGATGTGTGTAATTTGAAGAGAACCGGATGCTTACTTCGGATTTTATAACCGTTTCGTTTATTCAGAATGTTGACCCTTTGTGGGGGAGGTACCAGAAGGAGTGGTCCGATCACTACCATCTTTATAACAGATCTTGAGTTGATGGAAATATTAAGATGTGCCAAGTCTGAATGGAATCGGATGTTATTTTTTGGTTTTACGAGCTTCACGAATATTCAAAATTTTGTCTCTTTGTGGGGGAGGTGCCAGAAGGAGGCGGCCGATATATTCCATTTTCATACCAGACCTTGGGTTAATAAAAATATTGGGATGTGTGTATTTTGAAGACGATCGGTCTCTTATTTCACATTTTAAAAGAGTTATAATTATTCAAAAATTTTGACCCTTTGTGGGGGAGGTACTTGATGGAGTGGATCGATATTGCCCATTTTCGCAACTGACCGAGAAATGAGGCAAATATTAGGATTTGCAAAGTTTGAGCAAAATCGAATTATTCTTTCTCTTTCTGTGCAGTAAATTTTTTTCCTTAAAAGTTTTGACATTTTGTGGGGGAGCTATTAGAAGGAGTGGACCAATATATTCCATTTTCATGACAGGCCTTGTGTTGGCAGAAATATTGGGATGTGCTAAGATTGAAAATAATCGCATGCCTATTTCGCGTTTTTATGAGCTTCATAGTTATTCAAAATTTTGACCAGTTGTGAGGTACTAGAAGGAGTGGTCTGATACGTTTCATCTTCACACGAGATTGTGTGTTGATAGAAATATTGTGATGTGTGAAATTTGAAGAGAATCGGATATATATTTTGCAAATTATAAGAGATTATTCAAAAAGAATTATTCAAAATGTTGACCCGTTGGGGGGGAGGTACCAGAAGGAGTAGACCGAGATACCCCAGCTTCACACCATATCTTGGGGTAATAAAATTAAATTATAAAAAATTATAAATCGGATACTCCCTTCGAGAGTTATTGTCCTCACCAGTCAGCCAGACAGAGGTACGGACGAGCATCGCTAGATCGACTCCAAATGTCCTGAAACGTATTTGGGCCAACGAGACCTAGGGCCTAAAACTGTTATTTTGACTTTTTTGGCCAAATAATATATACCCTCTCTGTAGCCATATGGCTGAGGGTATAAAAATATTGATATGCCATATGTTTCCAATTTCCTTCTTCCCCTTATCTTCAGAACAATAAACCCGGAATTTGCATTAAACTATACTTTGCGGCTTAAAGATAGCAAAATATTTATCGCTCATTTTTCACTGGACAAACAAAAGAAAGAAAAAACACATTCAATAAAGGCAAACATTTGGGCAGTCAAGATAACAAAGAGAAAATAAACGGGCGGGAGAAAAGAAACAAACACTATGCAACATGCACACATAGAACAGTAGTATAACAAACAACAACAACAACAAAAGAAGAGAAATGCCGATTAAGAGCAAAAAAAGATAACCAAATGAAAAAATAGAAAATAAATAAACAAATTTCATGATTTTTTTTTGTTAAATAATTTTTTGATTTTTATTATTTAGTATATTATGTAAATTTATATATATGCAGTATATATATGTGTAATTTCTGATTTGTTATAATATTTATAAAATACACACATAAAAACAAGACGCTAAGGATAGATTTAATGAAAGGAAACAATAAAAAACATAATAAAGGGATAAATACAAACAGAGTGTGTAAGAAATAGAGAACAATAGAGAGTTAATTAAAATAATTATATTTTATACAATTAGTTTAATACAGAGTGAGAACGTGAGGGAACAGTTTGTAGATTGATTTTTAAACATTAAATTTAATTTACAAAAAAAAAAACATTATGGAAATTCAATTTTGTTTAACAATTTGGTAGATAATTATAAATAAAGCATAATATAAAAACAAGAAAATAAGAAAAAGAAAAATGAAGTTCGTATAACTTAAGAAAAAAAAAAGAAAATTCAAGTTTGCAGTTTTCAAATTCGAAAATTAAGGCAATATAATTGTCCGTGCTTGGACACACTAACTTAAGATGATTGGTTTTTATTTTTTGATTTTTTTTGTTGTTTTTGTAACAGCCTCAGCATGCTAAAACTATTTTTTTGTAACTGGAGTAATAATTAGCCGAGTACTGTTTTATGTGTTTTTAACCCTTAAAGGTGTTAAAATCAAATCTCAAATCTTGACATTAAAAAATGTATAGAATTGTATGTTATATTTTTGAAAATACCAATCACACCTTTATGGGCTAATATCATGGTATTTTTTTATTATAAATATTTATAGATATATATTTTTTATAAAACAGTCTTATAAAATGTGTACACGAAACTCCCTAGAAAATAACATAATTGAACTAAAACATTTATAAACAAATCATTATATAATTATTTATTATTATATATATAAAATTGTGTGTGAAAAATATTACTGTATCAGTGAGTAATTTTATTATTTTTATTTTTTAACTGAAAATATTCATTTAATGTGTTTAGCTATTATCATCATGCAGGATAAGTATATATACTCTTTTATTTACAGGGTGTTTCAAAAGAAATAAATACAATGAAGATACTGGATTGAGTGAACTTCCGTAATAAACTTATAAGGAAAAAAAGATAAACACATTAGAATGGAATCGAAAGGTAGTTTAGCGTTTAATGAGCTTCGTAGATATTCAAAATGTTGAACCTTTGTGGGGGAAACACTTGAAGGAGTGGACCCATCTTCACACCAGACCTTGGGTTAATAAAAATATTGTAATGTGTGTAATTTGAAGAAAACCGGATACTTATTTCAGATTTTATGATCGTTTTGATTATTCAAAAATTTGACCCTTTGTGAGGGAGGTACCAGAAGGAATGGTCCGATCTCTACCATTTTTATAACAAATCTTGTGTTGATGGAAATATTGAGATGTGCCAAGTCTGAATTGAATCAAATATTAATTTCACGTTTTATGAGCTTCATGGATATTCAAAATTTTGACCCTTTGTGGGGGAGGTACAAGAAGGAGTGGACCGATATATTCCATGTTCAAACCAGACCTTGTGTTGATGAAAATATTGAGATGTGCCAAGTCTGAATGGAATCGGATGTTAATTTCGCATTTTACGATCTTTATGAGTATTCAAAATGTTCACACTTTGTGGGAGAGGTACCAGAAGGGGTGGACCGATACATTCCATCTTTACACCAGACCTTGGGTTAATAAAAATATTGTGATATGTGAAATTTAAAGACAATCTGAACCTTACATCACATGTTACAGGTGTTATAATTATTCCAAATTTTGAACCTTTGTGGGGGAGGTACTTGATGGAGTGGACCGGTATTGTCCAATTTCGCACCTGACCTAGCACTGATGCCAATATTTGGATTCGCCAAGTAGGAGCAAAATCGGATTATCATTTCTCGTTCTGTGCAGTAAATTATTTTCTTTGAAAATATTGACATTTTGTGGGGGAGGTAACAGAAGGAGTGGTCCAATATTGCCCATCTCCGAACTCATTCTAAGTTTGGCAATAATACTTCGATGTACCAAGTTTGGATCAAATCGGATACTCCCTTCGAGAGTTATCGTGGCCACCAGCCAGATAGACAGACGGACGGACGGGTGGGAATCGCTAGATCGACTCCAAATGTCCTGAAATGGATTTGGTCCAAACAGACCTAGGGTCTAAAACTGTTACTTCGATGAGGCACGTATTGGCCGGATCAAATGATATATACCCTCTCTAGCCATATGGCTGAGGGTATAAAAAGGTAAAAATCCACGGGTTAAGCAATGTTGTTTGGTTCAATACAATTTTTTTGCTAATCGGCGAAATTATAAAACTAAAAACTTCATTGTCAAGTATCGACTGACACTCATAAAAAATTTCTATTAAAAACATCAAAAAAATCAATGGCTGGTGGTTCTGGATAAGCTGGTAGCCCAGCAAAATCTCAAA